CACCCTGCAATGGCATGAATAGGGTATCTCACTAGACTCTTCAGTATAACCCTCGTTTTTGTGATTTTAAATATGTATTGCAGGACATGTGGAAGGTAAAGGAAAKGAAAAGATTTAATGCTTTTCTTATGTGCATTCAGCTGCAGAACTGCTTTTGTTGATTAGTACAAGACTGTATTTTGAATTTTTGGACCTTGTATTTGGTCATGATTGTAGATTCTTGTACTAAGGGACCAAATGTATATGAATATGTATTTCTTTGGTATGAAATATGTGTTACATGCAATGTGTGGGTTGTGGCGTTACAGTTGGGTTCACGTGAGACCAGTCTGTTTTCGTGAGACCCGTGAGACCATATTTTTACACTTGAAACTTCACAGCAAAAACGTTGTGAAGGTTAAAAAAAGTCGAACCTTCACAACAAAAATACTATGAAGGTTAAAAAAAAATCACCTTCATAGCATTTTGCTGTGAAGTTTCAAGTGTAAAAAGGTGGTCTCACGGATCTCACGAAAACAGGCTGGTCTCACATAATCTCAAGTCTATATATATATATATATATATATATGTGTGTGTGTGTGTGTGTGTGTGTGGTGTGTGTGTGTGTGTGTGTGTGTGTGTGGAGGTTCAAATGAGAATCCCTGTGATTTACGAGAACATGAAAACAACCCAATAAACTCAAACTTTTTTAATTAATAAATTAAGTTATATTAAATATAAATAAATTAATAAGGGAAGTAATATAATTAAGTAATTTTTATAAATTTTTTATTTTAATTAATTATAATTATCCTTTTTTTCCTAGATTGATCACGTTTGTTTCCATCCTTTTCTCTTCCCTTGTGATAATTGTATGATTGTGTAACCATAACCTATCGAAACCATGATCAATCGAGTGTAACCATAATTTATCAAAACCATGAGTAATCGTTGTGATAAATGTGTGATTGTCTAACCCTAACTGATCGAAATCATGATCAAATTGATGCGCAAGTGATGTTATAATAGTGATATCACATGATTATCACACCCATATCACATCAAATTGTTTAGTAGATTTCGCCAGTAATGATTGTGATAAATGTGTGATTGTCTAATCCTAACCTATTGAAACCATGAGTAATCATTGTGATAAATGTGTGATTGTCTAACCCTAACCGATCGAAACCATGATTAAATCGAGTGCGCTGTTATGATAGTGATGTCACATGATTATCACACACATATCACACCAAATCGTTTAGTCGATTTCGCCAGTAATCATTGTGTGATTGTCTAATCCTAATTGAATGAAAGCATGTTCAAATCGAGTAATTGTGACAGATACCTTGAATAAACTGTGTTCTACGGCTTCTTCTTGCTGTTGGATTCCTGCATGCAAACCTTACGGCTTCTTTTTGTTGATCGATTCTTGTTTGCTGTTCGATTCTTGTTTTGTTGTTTGATTTCCAGACTTTACGGCTTCTTGATATTCGATTTCTCCTTGAAATCCTTTCATTACCTTCTTAATCGATACCTTCTAATAAAGGATAACTGTTGAATTAAGTGGATAACTCTAATTTCCAGGATGATAATGTGATCATGTTTAAAATTGTATGATTTTGATTTCCATTATTACCTTTTTGAATCTCAAAATTTTTTAAATCGTTTTAAATTTCAATTTTAATTTAAAAAATCTTTTAATTTTAATTGTTATCACAATATGAGATTAATAAGTTGTTCTCGTGTTTTCGTAAATCACAAGGGTTCTCGTTTGAACCTTTCCTTATATATATATATATATATATATATGAGCGATCAAATGCAAACCATCCAATTTGTACAAACCATGCAAACAACCTTCATCCGTCGTTTTCATTGTTTAATCTTATTAAAAATTTTCATGAAATTGTTTCATATAATTTTTTTTTTGATGAAGTTGTTTCATATATGGTCATGAAATTGTTTCATATAATACTTAATGAAATTTTAATGAAACTGTTTCATATATTTCTCTAAAATTAAAATAATGAAGATGATAATATCCATGATTAATACCCTCCACAATAAAAATGATTAATCGACCTCTCATAATTACAAAAAATGAACATAAAAATTATGATTGGTTGAATGAGGTTTGTACGATTTGTACAAATAACGTGGTTTGCAAAGTAAACCTAATATATATATACATATATATATATATATATATACTATCTTATTAACCAAATTTACTAAATGTCTTAAAGTCTTAAATTAAATACAACATCTAAAACACAAAATACTTATTCTTAAGGCTCAATTGCTTTTAGGTTCCCAACAATGCATGACTCAATTACTTTTAGGTTCCCAATATGACTATTCAAATTGCTTTTAGCTTCCCAACTATACATAGCTTATTGCTTTTAGGTTCCCAACTATTCAAATTGATTTTAGGTTCCCCAAATGACGATTCAAGCTTCAGTGTCATATATATCAATCCATGTTCCTCTTCCGTCCCAATCTTCAAGCTTCCATCGCCAGCTTCCTTCAAGCTTCCATCCCCATCTTCAAGCTTCCATCGCTCCTCTACTCGAATCAATCCATCGCTCCTTCCATGTAATTACTCTTGTACCCAGTAACATTTCATCACTCCATCACTTAGACACTGGAATCGATCCATCACTCAGATACTGGAATCGAGTAATTGACTTTTGGGTGGTGATGGGTCTAAAGACCCTTTACCAGTACTTTGAGAAATGAAATGATAGAAGAGTGTTAGGACTGATTTTCAATGTAAATTGTATTAGTCTTGAAAGATAAATATTGTCTTATAATTAAAATAGATATCGTGTTTGACTTTGTATGTTGTTTGACTTTGACTTTCAAGGGTTTTGACTTTGACCCTATAAATAGCTTGCTTTAGTGTAAATCTTGGAAAAGGAGCTCATTTGTAAAATTCAGTTTACGTAATAGAGGTTTGACTACTTTGACTATTTCTCTCATCTCTCCTCTCAAGATCTTAATGTTCATATCTCCCAAATCTGCCATGGATTCTTGAATGTTTGAAGATTATTAAAGATTGATCATAAAAGAGGACTCTCAATTGGTATCAGAGCAGGAGTGCATCGAAATCAAGAAGAAGAAATCACTTTTTGAAGAATTTTTGGAGAAAAGTTTATGGATTTTTTTTCTTCATGTTCTTATTTTTCTTTGAATTTGATCCCATTTTTTTATAAAAATTTTGTGTTTTCGTATTAAAACCATGATCAATCTATGCGGAATTACATTGTGAATCTTTGTTATTCACAAAATTTTGTGATTTGATCATTTTATTTTCAAGTTTTAATCGATTTAGTGTTTTTAAAATTTTTTATGTTCTTGATTTTTGTTTCAAAAACCAGTGTTTTGATCCATTTTAGTTTTTTTTTTCTGTTTTTTTGTGTTTTGGATTTTTTTTTTGCTAAATCGCTCAAAGCCCATATCTGGATTTGGCCCAATCTATTAAGCAATTATTTCATCGTACAACAGCCCATTTACACTTGATTCATCTTCATCGCAAGACTTCATCGCTCACAGACTTGTTCGTTTTTTCCCTAAATCGAAGAACACTGTCCGATTTCAACAAACTCGCTCACCTCTTCGTCCAATTTTGGTGTAAATCGTTCACTGTTTCATCCGTATTTCTCCTAAATCGGACAGCAGCTTAACCGGATTTTGTTCTTAAATCGTTCATATAGGTTTCAAAGATTCAAGGTAAATCTCATTGACCGGATTCATAAATCGCTCAATCAATCTATCCGGATTTCTAAATCGCTCATCCACTTCATCCGATTTAGCACTTATCCGCACAAAGGTCTAATCGATTTAGGATACATCGCTCAATCTCTTAGTCGATTTTTGTTCTTCATCGCATAGATTTTCCCTCACTGCCTTTCATCCGATTTAAGTTTAATCGGACAGGTCCATCTTCATTGTTCAACCAGACAGTCGATTTGGACATCATCGCATAGCTCATCTGTCCAGACATGGTTAAATTGAACAATGGTTTGATCGATTTAAGCCTTAATATCATATAGGTTGTTGTTTGATTTTGAGGTTCTGAAGCGCACAAAGATTTTGAACTCACTGTCAATCCAAATCGTTCAAGTGAGAAGTAAATCGCTCATTATATTCTTCTTGGCAGCAACTTTCTCGTCCGATTTGGCTTTCATTTATTCTAAATCGTTCATCTCTTCCATTTGGTGTCATTAATCTGACTAGAGCGGACTTGTGTAAATATGTGTTTTCAGACTGTAAATTGAACACAGACTTAGTTGTATTTGTGATTTAGCTGTATTTGTTGAATTGCTGGAAAATTCTATTTTTACTGCTGGGTTACAAGGCTATATTGCACATTCATGTTGTTATTGAGGAATGTGAGATTATTGATTTTCGTAGAATCAGTGCAAGGGAAGGATTTAGATTTGTTCTGTTTTTAATCTGGTTATCCGGACATAGACTTTGACCAGATTAGACCTAACTAATAAATTGTAAATCTCCTCTCCTCTCCTCCTTTCATTCCATCCGATATATATATACAATATAATCCCTATAAAGAAGGGAAAAATACCTACCAAAGATAATCCCTATAAAGAAGGAAAAAAATACCTACCAAAGATAAATACCAATTCAAATACAAAACATAGTTATCATCATATCGTCTAATAGCCCCCCTCAGTTGGAGCAGGAGGAGGACAAATGCCCAAACTGGATCTGAAATCCAAGAAAAGTTGTCGTGGTAATCCATTGGTGAATATGTCTGCGTACTGGTATGTAGAAGGGATATGCAGAACTCGAACGTGGCCAATGGCGACTTTGTCACGCACAAAATGGATATCCATCTCAATGTGTTTAGTGCGCTGATGMTGTACAGGATTACCGGAAAGATACACGGCAGATACGTTGTCGCAATAAACCAATGTAGCTGTTTTGAGAGGAGTTTGTAATTCGAGAAGGAGATTTCGTAGCCAACAAGTTTCGGCTACCACATTAGCAACTCCTCAGTATTCTGCTTCCGCACTAGAATGAGACAGTGTGGGTTGTCGTTTCGCAGACCAAAAGATTAAATTATCGCCTAAAAAGACACAATATCCGGATGTAGAACGGCGAGTGTCGGGGCACCCGCCCCAATCAGCATCTGTGTAAGCAAGGAGCTGAGATGGCCTGGAAGAGTATAGTTGTAACCCAAGTTGGACAGTGCCTTGGAGATAGCGAATGATGCGTTTCAGGGCATTCATATGAGGTTCCCGTGGAGCATGCATAAAAAGGCAAATTTGCTGAACGGCATATGTGATGTCAGGTCGCGTAAATGTTAAGTATTGTAGAGCGCCGACCAATTTTCGATATGCCGTAGGATCGACGACAGGATTCCCAGCTGAAGCGCTGAGTTTGGAGCCTGTATCGGCGGGGGTTGCGACAGGTTTGCAATTTTCCATCTTGGCACGTTTAATGATTTTGGGAAGTGTATTTTTGTTGAGATAAAAACATTCCACCTTTGGAGTACGTGACCGAAATCCCCAGAAAGTATGTAAGTTTGCCAAGATCGTTCATATCGAATTCGAATTTGAGAGAAGCAATAATTTCAGCTTTAAGAGTATGTGACGAAGCTGTGAGGACGATGTCGTCAACGTAGACGAGAAGGTAGGCGTACTCATGTTGTCTTCGAAAAATGAAGAGGGAATTGTCGCTTTTGCTACACACAAACCCGATGCTAAGTAAGTATGTCGYGAACCGTTGATACCATGCACGTGGGGCCTGTTTTAAKCCATAYAAAGATTTGCGAAGCTTGCAAACGTATCCAGRAAAAGAAGGATCCGTSAACCCGGGTGGTTGATGCATGTAAAYCGTTTCTTTGAGATGCCCATGTAGAAACGCGTTTTTGACATCAAGTTGGTGAATGGGCCAATTTCGGCTTAGCGCAAGGCTTAAAACCGTGTGGATCGTAGYGGGTTTCACCACAGGACTAAATGTTTCGTCACAATCAATACCCACCGCCTGTGTTTTACCATTAACAACCAATCGAGCCTTGTATCGCTCAAGAGTACCATCAGATTTAAATTTGTGCTGGAAAATCCAATGACAACTAATCACATTAATATCACGCGGACGAGGAACCAAATCCCATGTATTTTGTTTAAGTAAAGCATTAAATTCGTTGGTCATAGCACAGTTCCAATTTTGGTCAAGAAGGGCGGATTTGGTATTAGTGGGAAGAGGAGAGAGGGAGTYGGAATGTAGAGCATATTTGGGATTTGGTTTGCARATACCGCTTTGGGAGCGAGTGTRCATGGGGTGGATGGTGGTAGGTGGAGGTGGTGGCATTGGTTGAGGTTGGACCGTGGGTAGGGGGTTRACGGGAGGGTTGGTTGGGGGTGGGGATGCGTTGTTAGGGCTAGTGGTGGGTGAAGGTGGAGGTGGGTGAGAGATACGATGGGATGGAGTAGTGGTGTGGTTTAGGGGATTGAGATAAGGAGAGACAGGTAWGTCTTCGAGAAATTCGTAGGAAGAGRAGGGGTAAGCATAACGATGTTGATATGGGTATGTGTTTTCGTCAAAGGTTACGTGGCGGGATATAATGGGTTTGTCGGAGGAGAGAGTGTGGCAAAGATATCCACGATGGTTGGGAGGGTAGCCGAGAAAGATGGAGGGAATGGATCTTGGGGCAAGCTTGTTAGGRGTGGTGGCAGAGATGTTGGGATAACATAAGCAATCGAAAGTGCGTAAGTGAGAGTAAGTGGGTTTGCGAAGATAAAGGATTTCGGTAGGGGTTTTGTTGTGAATGGTGGTAGAGGGGAGGATGTTGAGGATATAAGTGGAAAAAGATAACGCAAGATGCCAAAGGGATGGGGGTAAGGAGGCGTGAATGAGGTTGGTACGGATCATATTGTTTAARGTGYGTATTATTCGTTCAGCTTTGCCATTTTGGGGGGAGGTGTAGGGGCATGTAAAACRAAATTGGGTGCCGGTTTTCAGAAAGAAATGTTGGAGGGATAGGTTATTGAATTCCCTCCCATTATCGCATTGGAGAGTTTTAATGGTTCGGTTAAATTGGGTTTGGATTAGAGTGTGAAATTGTTGGTAGATAAAAGGGACTTGACATTTTGTTTGTAAAGGAAAGGTCCAGATAAAGTGTGAGAAATCGTCAAGTAACACAAGATAGTATTTATGACCATTTTTAGATTCGATGGGAGAAGACCATAAGTCCGCATGTATTAAATCAAAGGGAGCAAAAGTAATTGTAGAAGATAATTTAAAAGGTAAACGACAATGTTTTCCAAGAGAACATGCATTACAATGATCTTTGAAATTAAAACTAGAATCGAAAACATTAGAGCTAAGCAACTTAAAAACAGGAAATCCCGGGTGACCAAAACGATTATGCCATGTGGAAGGAGAGACGGCGTGGAGAGCAACAGAAGGGGACTTGGCGGGACTAGGTTGGAAGGAATATAAATCACCGTTGCTGTTGTGTCTCGTAAGGACCTTCTTCGTGAAAAAATCCCTTCACAAAAAAACCGAGAGGGTCAAATTCTACCGACACAAGATTGTCTCGAGTAAACTAACGGACATAAACAAGGTTTTTAATAATTTTAGGAACATGAAAAACATTGCGAAGGGTGTAAGAACGGTTAGGAAAAGAAAGGTTAGCGGGACCTTGACCACGACTTGGAATAACTGTGCCATTGCCAACTAAAATTGAATGCGGTTTATTTAAAGAAAATAAATGAGAAAGATTACCTGCATCGTTTGTGAGATGTGATGTGGAAGCCGTGTCCATGTACCAAGAGTTATCCGGGGGACGAAGGTGCATGGTATGGAAAGCYTRCTCSAGCTGCGTAGGAGTCATGGGTACACCGTGTTCACTAGTATAATGAGCTTGGGAAGCCCCTGGCTGTTGATGGCGAGCCGTCGRTCTTGGASTGGGGCCAAGAAGACCCATTTGGAATCCTTGAGAAGCTGTCGGGTAAGGACAGGGAGGCACAGACCATGGAGCAGGTTGGTACCATGGATGGGGCCAAGTGAAGGGATTTGCACTGAAGTTGGTGCGTCCCCGTCCCCTTCCGCGACCACGATAGGAGMWACGACCGCCGCGCTGATATCCCCGGTAACCACCCCGTCCGCCACGTGTGGTGGTGTTGGTGCTGTGGGCGGTGTCRGAGGGAGTAACATCGTTAGGACCAGGATCGRTGGAGTTTTGCGTAACAAGCGCTTGAGCGACAWGGGAGGATTGATTTTTRCGTCGAGTTTCCTCCAATATGAGTTGAGAGYAGGCTTTGTTGAAGCTTGGCAAAGGTTCAGTTTGTTGAATCAGTGTYGCCACGGTATCGTATTCGCCTTTGGTTAAACCTGAAATCAATTGGAGAACCATTTTTGTTTCAGAGATAGGAGTACCTAYATTGGCGAGTTGATCGGCAAGGCTTTTGATACGGGAAGTGTATTCRTTGATGGTGGAGAAAGCCTCTAGACGAGTGGTATTGAATTGTTCTTCGAGGTAGATGGATCGTGTAGCCTTGTTATCTTGAAAGATCTCCTGTAAACGATCCCATAGTTGTTGAGCGGTGCCCCCGGGTTTTATAATTGTTTGGAGGAGATCGGGAGTGATGGTGGCGAATATCCATTGTTTGACAATGGCGTCAAGGCGTAGCCAGGTAGCATCATCGACATCAGCAGGTCGAGGGGCTTTGGGATTGATATGATCGAGAACGTTGTAGGCACAAACATGGATGTTTAATAGTTCCATCCAGGAGGCATATTGACCATCTAATCGATCGAGGATGAGAGGGATAGAGTTTTTGATGTTATTAACACGAAAGGGAGATTTAGAAGAAGAAGATTCAGGTTGAGTCATGGTGGAAGAAGAAGAAGAGAAGGCGTGCCTGATCGGTGGCAGCAAGCAGGGAAGAAGAAGGCCGAATAAAAACGATTTTGTTTAGGTATGCTCTGATACCATAATAAATTGCAAATCTCCTCTCCTCTCCTTCTTTCATTCCATCTGATATATATATACAATATAATTCCTATAAAGAAGGGAAAAATAACTAACAAAGATAATCCCTATAAAGAAGAGAAAAATACCTACCAAAGATAAATACCAATTCAAATACAAAACATAGTTATCATCATATCGTCTAATACTAACAACTTTGCCTTGGGGGCCTGTTTGTTTAGTGACAAGAGTCTGCCCAAGCATCTTCCCAGCTATCTCTTCGACCTGATCAATTTTGACAATGTGAACTCCGCCCTGAAAACCACTTGTGAACTTCCCTATGCCCCGTTGTTTAGTGACAAGAGTTGTTGCTGTTGCCATCTTCAACCATGGTCGATTTAGTAGCGAGCTTGTTCAACAATCCTCTCACCATCGTTGTTCTAATTGTCAAATGTTAGGATTAAATCACAAACAGAGAAATCAAAGAGGAAATGGGCAGTTTTATCTTCCAGATGTTGTTTTAGCTGAAAGTTTTGGTCATCCTGTTTTAAGTTTTGTTTCACCACTGCTTGGAAGCTGTTTGGACTGGACAAAGATACTTGTATCAACAATCAAAATAATACTGGACAAGGCTTTGGACAGCCTGCTCGGATAGGATCTGGCCAACACCCTGTTGGACAAAAGTTTCCAAATTTGGAAAATTGAAGAATCTTCCTAGTCTCGCTGATGCAAAATTGACTGGCTCAAGGAGAAATATCCAAGTTCTAGAAGCAATTGAGGACATTGGTTCTACTCCCAGCATGCTTTCTCCACAGGACTATTAAAGAAGAAATTTTTTTTCATTCTATTGCACCTGGATGGCTTGCAAGTGACAGACAGGGAGTTGTTTCTGCTTCAGGATTTCGTTTCAGTGCTGAAAAGAGTTGGTTTTGCTGCTGCAAATATAGTGATATTGCCACTTAGTTACTTTGTCAATTCAAGTGTGGAAGCTTCAAGAACTCAACTGGCCGACAGCAGTATCAACATATTACTTATTCATTATCGTAAATGTATTCTTGTGGAATCTGTGAAAAACAGCATTGCTGGTGTCACTTCTGAATTACAGGGGGAAAGAAGAAACAACTGCAGGTGGATAAGTCAGATGATGAAGCTGTAAAGAACCATTTGTTGTAGACATTCATTGCTCTAAGGCTTAACTGTTTTTGGGCTGATTCGAAGAAACTTCTGTTTGAATTCATTTTTTTTTTGCAAAGGCTGTAAATCGAATTTGAGTTGGTTGTTAGTTCGACTTAGCCTTCATTGGTGATCTCTGTTTTGGTTTTTTGTAAATCACTTACCTTTCATGTTTATTATCACAATTCTCAGAGCTTGATTGTATTTCAGATTTCTCTAGATTGGGTTTTACATAGGATTCAGGCTGTCGGATTTGATAACTCGCTCATAGGCTTGGGCGGATTAGACTTCTCCGGACTCTACCTCGGTCACAATCACTACTTGCTTTTCTCGCGG